CCTCCCGCACCTCGGCTCCGGGTAGCACTGTCGGGGCGTCGGGCATCGGGCCCGGAGGGCCCTTTTCACCGCTGCGCTCAGCGCGCGACCCCTGGCCTGGCATACAGCAGGTGCTTAATCAATCCCGGACCAATGCTGAACTCAAAGCATCGACCCCCAAAAGCGACATGTCGGTCCAGGGCTGAGCGAAGGCTTGCAGGCCGCGGGCGAGCGCGACACCGAAGGGACGGTGGGTGCCGAGGGGAGGTGCCCCCGGGGGACAGGCAGGTTGGGGCGACCTCAGCCGTGCAGCCCGGTACCAGGCGGTGGCTGCCAGGGCAGGAGCGGCAACTAAGCACGCAGCCTTTCCGCAGCCCCCAAACAATGGGGACCTCGTGGCCGCGAGAACAGCGAGCCAGAGAACCTGTGGCAAGAGGAACCCTTGCGCGTGCGCACCGACTGGGCGCGCGGGGCCGGGCGCGGGCTGCGACCCTCTGCCCGGCTTTTCGGATTTTTCTCGTGTTTTGTGTTAACGAGCGTTACCCCCGAACACACCCCTGCAGATTTACCTTTCTTTTTCTTTCTTTTTTTTGAGACAGAGTCCCCAAGGCTAGAGTGCCTTGGCGTCAGCCTAGCTCACAGCAACCTCAAACTCCTGGGCTCAAGCAATCCTGCCTCAGCCTCCCGAGTAGCTGGGACTACAGGCATGCGCCACCATGCCCGGCTAATTTTTTCTATATGTATTAGTTGGCCAATTAATTTCTATTTATAGTAAAGACAGCTTCTCACTCTTGGTCAGGCTGGTTTCGAACTCCTGACCTCGAGCAATCCGCCCGCCTCGGCGTCCCAGAGTGCTAGGATTACAGGCGTGAGCCACCGCACCGGGCCCAGATTTACCTTTCGTCCTTCCTCTCAGCTCATGGCCAACCCAGCCTCTCTGGAGTCCTCTGCTGTCTTCCCCCAGCTCCAGTCTGTAGACTGGAAACTCGGGTCTTGACTTCTATCCGAAGGGTGTGGAACAGCACTTGTCCGAGAAGAACAACTAAAAATAATAATAATAATAACCAGCAGTGATTTCACAAGCCGTCTTTAATTCTCTCATTAACCTCTTAAGGTAAGAAATATCCCCACGGTACTGGTAAGCAAAAGAATCAAGAGAGGTTAGGTATCTTAATCAAGGTAACACAGCTGCAAGTGGCAAAGCTGGGATTGAAATCCAGGTGTCAGTCACCTCTCACTCCTGCTTTGCATTCCCCAGGTGTACATTTTTGTGTACGTATTTCATATTTATATTCACATTTGTTTTCCTGGAAATAGCCGAAATTGTGTGGAAACAATTTATAGAGAAAAGGCTGGTTCCCGACATTCATATGTTCCTGAGTCACAAACCCCCAAGTAACTCCTGGCTTTGATGCATTTTGCTGCTTCTGAAAATGACATTACTTCAGCTGGTCCCAGCAAGGCCTCCGTTTTATGTACATTCCTGTCTGAACACTTGAGAAGGGCTCGCAGAGTGCGCCAACAGCTTTGCGGTTTTTGAAGCACTTTTAAGTGCACGTGAGGAGTAAATGAAGGAAGGTAAAAATATCTTCAGATATTGAACACCTTACCGTGTGCCAAGCACGATAGAAGGCGTTTTACAGATATTTTCTCACTGGATCTCTCAACAGCCAGGCCAAGGGTGTTTTGTAGTTATCCCATTTCACAGATAAGGAACTGAGGCCACGAAGGCGGAGTGATTTGCCCAAGGGCACATATCCAGTATTTGTTGGAATTGGGGTCATTCATTAATTTAACTGACTCAGGTGCCAGACCCAATGCTAGGGGCTAAACATGCAGGGTGAGGAGCACCCAGCCTCTACTCTCTGGGATTTGCCTAGGGTCTGTCTGATCTCACACGAACAGCTTTTTCCACCACACCACAGCCTTTGAAGAGTTGCTTAGTCCTGCTCTCTATGACACACATGTGCTGTCACTCTAGTTCCTTCCCTGCCTCCCTCCAGCCTTCTCCCCAGCCATACCTCATGGACTTCCTCCCTCATCCAAACAATTCTGGAAACGCTACCTCCTGCAGGAAGTCCTCCTTGATTGCTCCAGCCGACAAGTCCCCTCTCCTCCTCCCTCTTAGGTATTGCTTTCCTTCACATGCACTTGTTCCTTGGCCGCTCCACACAGGAAGCCCCTTGAGTGTGTGGCCAGTTCCTCTCTGGATCCTCTGTGCTGTGCTAAGTGTTTGGGAAAAGGTTGCTGATTGGTCAGCAGTTACTGAGTGACAGAGAGACAGAGTGGAAACTGGGAAAGACTACAGGAAAAACCTGGATTCCCAGACAGCGTGCATCGCTGTGTGTCTGTAGGCAAATCGCTGCCTCTTTCTGAGCCTGAGTTCCCTCTTTGTAAGATGGGATCCCTCCCTCCCCCGCAGCCCTGCGGGGAGGAATGGGGTAAGGACGGACGTGCAAGCTTCTCCCTTTACAGAGTCGTCTGCCGTGTGTCCTCACATTCGCTGTGTGTCTAGAGAGGGCAAGACATGGCCCTCTCTGGGACCCCCTCCCCTCTGGTGACCAGATGACCACTAAGGCTCCTCCTGGCTCGCCCCACGTCCAGACGCTGCCTGGCTCCAGCACAGGAAAGCCTGGTGTGTTGAGGGCCTGGATCCTCCCAGTGACTCAGCGACAGAGACCCTGGCAGACCCAGGCCAGGCACCTTCCTGGGATTCGCAGGCTCCAGACTTCCTGGAGCCAGGGAGAGAGGGGCTGGGGATGGGTCAGGCTGGAGCCCCACAGAGGCTGCGGCTGCTGTCTACCAGCTCCACAGCTCCCACGTGGGAGCAGGGAAGCTCAGGGGGCAACCTGTGAAGTAGGGCAACGCTGGGGCAGGGGTCTCGGACACACAGGCCATGGCCGAGGGGCTGAGGACAGAGCTCTAGACTTGCCTCAGGACCCCACTGCACCCCAGATGTGCTGCCGGGTGACCTTGGTTTCCTCTGTAGGCTAGCTGCCACCGGCAGATAATGATAGCACTCAGCCACTGCCCATGACCACTGCCCAGCTCAGGCCAGTCTCTCACCAGACTACACCAGTGGCCACTTCACTGGCCTCCTGACCTTCAAATGATGCCTTTGCATGTGTGTGGCTAGGCAGCCCCCGCAGGCCTGGGGAGAGCTCTGAGGCCTGGCGTTAGGCTGCCAGAGCCGGGAGCAGGCTGGGATTACACTATCAGGAGGAGAGGCGGCTCCAGACACGCTATGTCCAGGGCCAGCACTGAGGGGGTCACGTTGCCTCTGCCACTCCTTCCTGACGCCAGCCCCCATCTCCTGGCTGGGGGGCCTGTGCCACTGCTCTAGTGACTGAGGCCAGCTTCCGGTGGCCCTTATGGAGCCACCAGACTGGCCCGCACCCCCGACCCCCACTCTAAGCATCCCCGCAGGGCAGAGTCTCAGGAACCGAGACCCTCCATCCCAGCGCTCGCCACCCTGCATGCAGAACAGCAGATCAATCATTAACTTCAGGACCCAGCCCAGGAAATTGAAAGCCACTTAAACTCCATTCCCAATGGTGGGTTGCTTCTGCCCTGCATCTCCCTAGAGCAATGGGGCTCCCCCACCCCAGCCACAAACACACAAGGTCGTTTGTTCCTGGGTTTGGGCAACCTCTGGCAGGGCTTTGACACTGGCCGACTTTGAGCTGGGCTGGAAGACTAGAGTTGACTCCCAGCCCCTCCATCATCTGCTGGGTGACCTTGAACAAGTTTCCTCATCTGTAAGACGAGAGTATGAAGTAGTGGTCCAGAGGGAGGTCGTGAGGGGGAATGAGGAAACAGAGGTGTCAGCTAAGCCAGGGCGCCTTTACCGGTGCGGTCGGCGCAGGCTTGGTGCCCATCTGTTGGGTCTCAGTGAAGTGACCCTTCCCATCTCCTGTGCTCCTCCATGGCAGACGCCATGGGGGAGCAAGTGCGCCCGAGGGTGCTCGCTGCGCTCCGGCTGCACAGGCTGCCCGCCCAGAGCTGCTGGGCGCAGGTCACTGGGAAATAATGAAAACTCCATTGTTTCGCTTGGAAGCTGTCAACAGCTTCCTCTGTTAAAGTGAAAATCTATTCTTCCTAAGGCTTCTCAGGAGATAGCAGTTATCTTCATCTGTTAAGGGTTAAGAAGGACAAATATCATGGTTTTAAACTTTTTTTTTTCAAGCTATGGAATCTTTTAATCAGTTTATTGATTGGAGCTGCTCTGGTGGAAAAAGGAGAGAGGCATTTACTGCACTCCCTGGCATGCGTGGTAGGCCCAGGGCAGCTTCAAGGGGGCTGGTGGCCCCAGAGCAGTTCTTAGCGAGTAGCTAGGATTTGGCCAGAGGGAAGCATGGAAAGGGCCTTCCAGGTAAAGGGACATAGTTGGCCAAAAGCACGGTGGTAAGAGGGCAGGCCTGCCGGAGCCAGCTTTAGCGGATCCTTCTCCTCACCAGGCTGACGGCGGGGGGGCAAGTCCTGGAGACACAGGGTCTCCACCATCAAGGCATGTCCAGTCTAATGGGGGAGACAGACCTGTGTCCACACAGGGTGCTCAGGACTCTAAAGGGAGTGTGGGGTGAAGCACAGGGGCCTAGACTAGTGGGGGGCTGGGGGGGACATCGGGAAAGGCTTTCTGGAGGGGCTCTGTGTACCTATACCGCACCCTAGCACAGATGCCAAAGCAGAGGCCGTGTGCCCTCCTCAGAGGGAGGTTCTAGGCCAAGGAATGGGGTGCTCTGCCCTGCTCTGCCTATCCCAGCTGGGCACCTGGGTGCAGCGGGGCTCCCTCCACTCTCCCTGCCTCCATCCTCACCCCTGCCACTTCCTCCTTGAGCCCCCTAGGGCTGCCCTTCTGAAGCCCAGCTGAGTCCCAGGCCCTGCCCCGCCCTGCCATCCTGGGCTCCCCCATTGCTCTCAGGGTAAAGTCCAGGCTTCCCATGAGGGGTGGGGGTGGGCAGACCAAAGCCCGGGAGATCTGAGCCCTGCTGAGCCCTCCAGCCTCCAAGAGGCAACGAAAGGTGAGGCCAGGGGGAGGGGGCCTAGCTGCGTCTTCCGTCTTCCGGATGGCGCGGGCGGAACTTCCCGAGATAAGGACAGCCAACAATGGGGGCTGTGTGGTGCGGCCTGTCTCCCGGCCAGAGGAAATGAGTGGCCTCTGCACCATTAATCCGCCACAGCCCAAGGCACCCTCTGGAAGGGTGACCCAGGTTGCAGGGGGATGTCCCCCCATGGACCCCACACACTGTCCCAGCTGAGGCCTGGGCCTGCCGCTCCAGGCTCGCCTCCTTCCAGGGCCAGGATCTAAGTAGGAGGAGGCGCTTGGGCTTGGGAGGCAGGGCCTAGGTCTGCCGCCTGGCTTGTCCCCAACCCTCTGTGGGACCAAGCAAGTGCCTCGCCCTTGGCCCCTCACCGCTCCCCAGGCTCCGTCTTTCTTGACTGTTCTGGGAATCTGAGGATAGCACATGCCTGTAATTCTTGTCTTTCTGCCCCTCTGAGCACAAGGGCCCTGGACACATGCTTTACCCAAATATGGGGGCTCTGGGGATGGGATTTGAGGCAGCAAGCAAGGCTGCTAGGGAAGATGTTTTGGGCTTGTGGGCTGTCACTGCAACTGCAACTGAGGTTGGTGGGGAGAATGCACAGCCCTGCACCATTCTGGGCCTCAGTTTCCCCTTCTGCACCATGAGGGTGGGCACCAATGACCATCCTGTGGGGAGTGGGCTGCTGTGGTCAATGGCAAAGGGTGTGAGGCCAGGGAGTTCCCACAGGTCCCCTGAGTTCCACCTCAGCCACAGACCAGCCCTGTGAACCTAGCCAGACCCCTTCCTGCCTTGGGGCCTTGGTCTTCCCATCTGTAAAATGGGGCCCCTGTCCGGCCAGCTACAAGGAATTCTGTGGCAATGGGTGTAAATGGGGCCCTGTATGCTGCCGGGAGGGTTGCTGTCTCTGGGAGGCTGGGCTGGGGTCCACATCCCAGGGTCAGTCTCTAGCCTCGCTGGGGCTGAGGAAGCTGAGTTCAGAAAGTAGAGGGAACTTGCCTAAGACCACCGGGCTTGGAAGGGGTGAAGCAGCACTT